AAAGATACAAAGAAATATAAGGACTACTTAAATAGATCCCAAGAATCTTTACAGCATTAGGCAATCTAAACATAGTTCTGACTATGAATGAATCCCATATGCAATATGTGGTTAGGTAACCTGCGTGTAGCTACTCCTCATGTAGTTAGAGCCTTCTAGGCAGGCCTAGCTTATTACGTGTCTGTAACAGGGAGAGCCGTAATCCCATTCATCCCTGTTGTCATTGCATATGAACAAATGGGCATAAAAGATTAAACCACGAGATGTGTGGACACAAACCCAGTCGGGAGCTGTATAATGATATGTACTCTAAAATGATCATGTGTGTTCAAGGCAGTTTTCTCAACCTTTTGCACGGTAAGGAAGAGTATCCAGGAAGTTAAGAAAACTCTGGGAAGGACTCAGTATTTTTTCCGTGTAAACCGGTTTTAAAAGCTGGTAGGTAAGCTTATGTCTTAGAATTTCTATTAACAATTATTTCTATTAATCATCTCGGCTGCTGCTTACTAAGGTTCAGCATCACTGAGGTTAGAAGCAAGTGACCTGCAGGTTCAGAGGTGCAAGTTCTCCCTGGATCGACTGGTCACTGATACCCTCAGTATGCCCTACATTATTTTATATTTCCTTGTTTATGTGATCATGCAAATCAAATTGCTGTATGATACTTAAAATAACTGCTATTACTTATGACCTTCCTTTTCCTTTTTTTTTCTTTCTTGTTTTTTTAGGAGCCAGCAGCAACTAGGAAGATAGGAAGAATGACTCCGCCAATTTAAAAGACAGCTTGCATTTATACTTTCCGAAATAGATATACCAATGAAGTCAGTTTAGTATTTAAACCAAGAACACAGGAGAACTGAAGTCTCTTTATTCTGATTCTGTTTGCTGTAATAAAAATGCATACTCCAGCTTTCCTTGGAATAAAGCAGTGTGAAGAGGTGGTGTCTTTAGGAAGAAGATTATATTGTGGGAAAGTATTTATATTTATACTGCCTTTTCTTTGTATGAAATGAGGGCAGAATGAAAATAGTGACAATCTAATGCATGATGAAATTTCCTAAGCAGGATTTTATTTTTTTAGTTAGTGGAATTATAATTCATGTAGTTGATATTGGAGTGGATTTCTGGGTAGCTAGTAAATATTTCTGTGAGGGGCAATACTGGTGGGGTGTATTGATACTGTGTTATAGAGGTCTTTCATCAGTAGTAATTCAGCTATTTAGTTATGAATGGTTTAAAAATGACTGTGAAAATCCCAATCCTGAGAAGCTGAAATGGGTCTTCCTAGTTCGTTTCTTTCACTGTGGAATTTTTATAAGGTAAGCACTTTTTGTTGTTGTTTGTTTGTTTTTTAATAAAAACGAGAGAAATCACATTGCTATAAACTGGCTTATTTTGAAAATTTCAGTGCCAGTTTGATATGTTAACATGGCTTCAGGTACAAATCCACTCCTGGCATCAACAATTCTTGCTCTACATGGGTGAATCGATTTTTGTCTGTTTATGCCAGGGGAATACTATGTCAGGTTTTGATGGAAATGTAGCTTTTTCTTCATTCTGCCTTCCAGTAATTTTTTTTATCATGCCCCATCTTTATTTGATTCATCACTCTTCGATAGGGTGTATTTAATAAAAATGCTTGCTTTACAGGTAAATACTGTTGCAACTGATAAAGAAAAGTAATTTTCTAAAGTGATGTTAAGAGGATTCATTTGGTTATTCTAAATAGATCAGACAGCTAAAGTAAGTGGTAATTTGTGTACTTGAGTGTCTAACTGTATTTGTATAGAAGAAGCAGGGACCCAGTTAATAGTGATGGGAGCTTCCCTCCCCCCCCTTTTTTTTTTCTGAAAAAGATATGTTTAACAATAGTTTACCGAATTGCAGGTTTAGCATTTGTATCTAGCTTCCATGGTGGCTTTATTATAAAATTATCATCAATGCAGAGAACATTTGTGCTAAGTTTTTCCTTCCATTCAAAACTTAAGTGAAAGGTTTTAGTGACATCCTATGGACCTGAGTTTTGAATATATATAATGGTCAAGAAACATGAGCGAATGTAGACTTCGGAGTCATTTAATGAAAGCCGTTATTTAAAATGCCTCTTCTAACTTCCTGTACTAATCAATGAACAGCAATGAAAGATATATTTATGGCAGGGTAAAAAATTCTCTCACACACATTTTCTGTCTTGTGGTGGGCATCTCTTAGGGTGCATTTTAGAGATGCAAGCATCTGAGAGGCTTGTTATCTAATAAAGATAATTTTGCTCTTTGCTCTCTTGGTGTTACTGTCTTGGTCAGCTGTTATGTCAGCTGCATAAATTATGTTTTCTATTATGTGGCCCCTTCCACTGGGCAAAAGCCTCCAGCTGATAAACACAAGTTACAAAGTTCTTTGAGCCACTCCTCAAAATTCATCATTAGATAATGTAAAGTATAAGTTGATAACAGCAAAATGACATCTGCGATTTGGGATTGGCTATTATATTTCTGATATTTGATTTCTTGGGTGTTCCACTTCTTTTTTTTTTTTTTTTATTTGGGATGCACGTTTCCCTCCTGTCCTCCCTCTTAGTCACCTAATTTATTCAGCTGACTTAGGTAATGACTCTCCCAGGTTTTTCTATAATCAATGGGTAAAGGCAGACTTTGTCAAGAGTTACCTGATGAGGAGTCATCATGATCACTGGGATGAACCTTTCCAGAAGGTCATTTGTGGCAGGACTTGATCTTCTCTACTCACTATAGAGAGAACTAGGGCCTAGCCAGTAAGCGTTGACCTCTAGCCAATTTATGTATATACCAGGAAGCTCCACAGGAGAAAATATTAGGAATGTATTGAAGCTATCAAGTCAGTGATGGACAGGGCTTAACAGTGGACAGTTCTGAAATGTGAAGTTTGTGGAGCCCTGAAACAACTACATGAAGTAACTGTGATGTGTGAATCTCCAGCCGCAATGCAAGAATCAAAATCTCCCCAGTTCTACAGGGCAGGAGCAGCCTTGATGAAGCTGCAGGAAGCTCTCAAGGACAGGGAGACCCCTGAGCTATGTTGAAATGAGCTGGCTGGGGCACCAGAGGCTGTCTAAGCACAGCAGTTTTGAGTTCAGTGTTACATAACTTAACTCCACTTCTGGGGTAGACTTAATATATTATGTGATGATATAACCATCCTCTGAATGGAATGACGAGGGCTTCCTGCTCTTAAACATTTTTTTTTCTTTAAAGTAGGGCATACCTACCTGCAAACAAAATTCTGGTTTGTAGTTCTTTTCCTTTAGGAAACCATAGCCGTGATAGAGACATTCTTCAACAAAGTCATTACATATATAATAAAGAGCAATGGTGTAACAGCAAAGATTATACCAAAGGTATATCTTACTTATTTCTTCATTTTGTCTTGTGATCATTTGCACAGCTAGTGCCCACTTCAGGCTATGAGAAGCAGACTGCTAACAGTGTGCTGACCTTTGCTCTGTGTTTCCTCTTCCACCTGTGAAGTATTCACAGATACTACTTAGTAGCCCTATCTCCTTGCTAATAGAAGAAGTACCTTAATAGTTAAGATCATGCTCTAAGGAGAATTGACATAAAGGAAATGGTAACCCTGTATTTGTCTGAATTATCCATTTCATTCTCAGTTTAAGAGGTACATTTACCTAAAATACATAACTAATCAAATATTTTTAATGTATTTTTTTTACTCCAATTGCTTTTAAAAACGTATTTTATCATTTTATGAGAGGGA